ATAGTATGGGACAAACCATGGTAGAGGACATCACCGATCATGGTAATTGAAAAACTAAATAGAAAATTTGAAAAATAATGTGGTGCACATTGCGGTGAACGTTAGAACACAATTTACAATGTATAGCAGGATTAAATTCTCACGTTGTATGAATCTTCATTTACAAGCAATGGTTCTATAAAAGGAAGTAATGAAGTCCGTCTGACTAATGCAGCATAGCGATTTTCACTTAAATAATTGCTGGTTGAACAAATTTCGACGAAATCCTTGAATTTATTCACAATTTTCGAAAGGATTGGACAGGCAGTTCCCAGTGAAGTGCAGTCAAATGAACTGGAACCTTTTCCCGTGTTTCACAAATATCATTTAGTGAGGAAACTCTTTGATAATTTTATGGAACATGCAGAGACTATGAAGACGAAGCGAGCGTCAAAGGGAGAGAGAGAGGGAGTAGTTCATAATGTTCTAGAGGGGCATGACATCCAATCTACACGATTACTACAAACAGATGCACAGGAATTATGCCCAGGAGCGAATGAAAGAAACTATCATCCTGGTTAATTATTCCCATTCCGAAAATGCATTATCGGTAAGGTTTGTGTTCGAAGATTTTTCAAATTTTGATCATGTGCTCATTTTGGTCACCCACTCACTGTACTGCAATTGCGGCCGTGATCTCAATCAGGGTCAGCTGTCGTACGACAATGTATAATTGGTTTGCTGATGAATAATTCTACACACCATCGCAATAGTCAGTGAAACAGAAGGTGCTAAATGCTTAACTTGGTGATTCAAGATGTGGTTGTACCTCACAAGAATGGAATGAGAAGTAAAACCTTACAGTCCTGTTTCCGGGTTTTGATGTACCCATTAACATTGGTTCTGGAGACGGAAACGTCTCTGGTGCGAAAGAACATCAAGTACTTTATTATAAAAGCAAACCCATGGAAGTCAGATGAAAATTTGGTTCATTTGTGCCTCGAAGCATAGATCCCCCCGTAACCACTTTGAATAGAGAAGCCAAAAACACAGATTGGCACAATATATCCTGGATCATTTCGCTGCATCTGTACACATACGTGCATACTGTAGTTTATATAATCAATAACATATGGTCAATCAATAACAGAATCATAGGCGGAGAAAGATTGCGGTCCAAATTACTCACCAAACACATTTTTTACCAAGGTAAGGCTAGAGCAATAAACAACTCATTCTGTTGACAAAGTTGAGGATGGTAATTTTGAATGGCTAATGCCTCGTATTTCAGAACCTCGGTGTTGTTTGTGTCGTAGAGGATTCTGAACGCGTTGCGCAGCCTGACACAGTGTTTCATTTCGACCAGATGTTGTGTGATCGACTAACTGAATTTCCTACGGGTCATCGGTGACGTCATACTTCCGAAGTGCCTATTCGTTGTTTTCTGAAGCCAGATCGGGATGTGCTCGGTTACTCAGTATCGCAGTTGTCTCTCCGTTCTGCCGATGTAGATGGTCGAGCATTCACACTTGAACTGATAGATACGATTATATCTGGCGTGGGGAGACAGTGGTTCTTTCGCCGAGTGTATTGGCAACCCGGCGGTTGTAAAACCAACGATGGGATCAGCTGCGTAGTAGATACACCTAACGGCCGATTTTAAGCACTTGGTAACCATGCAGCTGATATCCTCACCCTTGAAGAGCAGTTGAAGGACCAATCTCATCTTATCTGCACCTTGTGTCTTTCGCGTGTACAGTTTGGTTGGGAGTGCTTTAAGACGAATCCTTTCGGATATCCGTTAGATTGTAAAACGTTTCTAATCTTGTCATACTCGTCATCTAATGTATTCGCTGTGCAAACCTGTCGCTCCCTGTAGAAGAGCGTTCAAACTAGACCAATCTTACATCCCATGGGAGCAACTGTAGTAAAATGAAGATATTGTTCAATCATGTATCCTTTCGGTACAAAGATCTTATGATTGATCCAGCCGTTCGACGTGGAACCTCCACATCCAGAAACGAGATACAAGTCTTGTGTTTCACTGTGATATGTCAACGTTATGTTCGGTTATTCAAGCGTTCAAATAATCTCTCCCTATCTTGCTTTGCAGCACAGATGATAAATATACCATCAAAATACCAGCAGTATAGGTCCAGCTTTTCAATTTCGGCCAGCAATTGACGTTCCAAATGCCCGATGAAAGAATGGGCCCCAGCGGACTTCCAATAGCGACTCCATCTATCTGCTGATATTGTTCATCTATGAATTACCTAGAAAATTACCTTCCCCAACTGTGTAAACAGTGTGAATGGCCTGTCACACTGTGTTTCGTGAGTAATTTGGACCGCAATCTTTCTCCGCCTATGATTCTGTTATTGATTGACCATATATTAATGATTACATAAACTGCGTGTACGTGTACAGATGTAGCGAAATGATCCAGGATATATTGTGCCAATCTGTTTTTGGCTTCTCTATGCAAATTTATTTATGCTTGTCAATTGCAGAACAACATTACCCCTACCACATCACTTGGGGTGGGCCGGTAACGAAATCCAGTCAATATTCCGTAGTTTATCGTCTTCAGAATAACCTTTCTTATTGATCTCAGCACCAGCCACCTCCCTTATTTTTCATTTCGGTAGATCAAAACCTGCGAACGTAAGTAACCGCCAAACTGAACGAAATACTTTCTGATGGCGGAAAATTCTAAATCAACAATACATCACGGAACAAATCAGCTCACTGAGGGCCTTCTCACAAGAAAGGTACAGATTATGCTCGTTAACGGTTGCATTTCTGAGGCTAATTAAAACGATTGAAGCCAATTGGAACGCAAATACCACAAATGATATGTTTGCCCCAAAGTTCATAAACTTGGGACTCCACTCAGATCTATTCTGTGCATTCTGAACTCACCTTATCACAAGCTCACCCGGTGGCAAGTGGACATCCTTGACCCCATTTGTAAGCCTCTTATGTCTCATTGTGTGAAATATTCTCTTGAATTCGATTGAAATGACTATGATAACCGACAAAGAGCACTGGACAACTATTTCTTCTTGTTTGGGAATCGTCAGCAGTACGTGCTTTTTTGTGTTCCTATCAGGACTCAAACCGCGAACCTTCGGGTTGAGACTTCAAATCCTTACCTGTGAGCTACACCGTTGATAGTCATCACCTTGTGCGAATGGCCCAATCGACTTTAGAGTATCAAGCTTGAATCAGCCCATTCGATTGTTCAGAGGCACCAGGGGCTCCTGATGGTCTTTGTCGGTTATCACAAACATTTCCATCGCATTAAAATGCATTCAACTAGTGAAGAATTAACGATTTCCCAAAGAGTGAAACCTACATCTAAAACCATCAGGAGTGCCAGGTGCCTCTGAACAATCGAATGGGTCAATCCAAGCTTGATACTCTAAAATTCTCTTCAATTGTCTAATATTTTGGAACTCATGACAATATCCCAATAGAAAATGTAATAGATAGATGTGGATTCACTGTTTAATAATGGAAGGTTTTATGGATTACTTGATTTTTTGTGTGATATTTTTTCAAACAATTTCGCTAGAATACACGTTGTTACACGTACAGAAAACATACGTTCTGTTTTTGAAAGAGACCACATACGAACAGATTGATAGCATGACAATGGACAACCCAGTGGGTCTCAAGTTAGCAGATTCAGTTTCAAGAATGACTGAGCAAACATTAAGCAATAATTGTTCCAAGTCCACCCCGTACAAACGTTATGTGGACGACATTTTTATTCTCACAAGTGATGAGCTTTTATAAGACAATCTTACTACTTTTCAACTCAGTCCATTCACACCACTCCGTATCTCATGAAAAAGAAACCAACATCAATAACTTTTCTAGATATGAAAGTTACCAGGCGAATAAATGGGAAAATACAACGCTGAGTTTACTAGAAAGCGACCTGAAATGGTCAATACCTAGTGCTATAATTCCAAAAGGCGGTGCTCAGTCGAGGATGGTCGTGTGCTGAGGATTACAGACGGGACATCACTAATTTGGCATATATAACACAGAAATCTCATCAAAAACATACCACCACAGTTCCTGGCAGCACAGCGGGTAATGAATGTGGTAATCGATAGTTATTCTTTGAAACCCAGCAATTTTCCTTAGGTGATCTTGTTAATTTTTGATCGTTTACCAAATCACCAACTATGGTACCTACTACTCACAAATGTGAGTAGTACCTCACAACACCTACACCTTTCCAGCTTAACCCTCATGGCTAACAAACGTGGGTTTGCGAGAAGCCCATTTCATCAGGTGAGAAACATATGTTATCCAGATGCACTGAAGGATGAAGAGGATTTCCTGAGGAGAACGTTGCCTAACAATGATTACTCAGAAAGGTTTATAAACATTCAGAGTGGACCATTCCCAAAAGGGGACCCAACCCAAAACGTCAGCAAAAAGGCCAGTTACCTAAAGCTTGCGTTCAAAGGTGACCACATTGGTAATGCTCTGTGCATTTGTTGAGGTCAGCTTTAGACCGTACATTCCCAGCTGCTGAACTCAGGCTCATTGCTTCTAGTCGTGGAATTGATCTGGACAAACGTAAACATGGCTGGCAACCCGGTTCGGTCTCACACACTGTGTACCAGTTTATCTGTAGCTGCGGTGACGCCTACATAGGCAGAACAAACCGTCAGCTCTCACAGCGGATTGCGGAACATATTCCAAAGTGGTCGATAAAATAGATGACGCAACCGATAACTGATGGCCAAGCGATCTCAAGAGACTCCAAAGATTTGAAAGATTTTCGTCCTAGCATAAATGCTTAACCATGTTTATGGTTAATCAAACCGGAGTGAATACGAGTAATAATAAAAGTAATTGTTGTAATTATGAAACCCTAATATTATCACCAAGATAACTCGTCCTTAAAATTACTTTTAACAAATGCGCTATATTACATTGATATTTGTCTCCCACATCCTGTAATTCGGAAGATCAAGAAAGTAACCGACACAACTTACCTTTTTGCGCCAAAAGTTGAAGCACTCCAATGTGTCCGTGAGCAGCGGCCATGTGGAGCGCGGTGCGACCGTAATGGGTAGTCACGTTCAAATTCGCACCTGATTGATTTATTAAGACAACGAAAACGCATATAACAATTGAGTGGATCAATCTCAAAAAGAACTTTTTTCGATTTTATATTGATAAGTACTTTGAAAAGGCAAACTTAAGAACCGATCTATAGATTAACTTGTTCCTAAACCCTGGATCACCTGAACATACTTACTTTGATTTCTGATTCACTTTCTGCCACAGGAAAATGAGTCGACTTTCAGGATTCATCGATAAAGAATCACTGGAATAGAGCAGAAGGCATTTACAGTTTCATTCTAGTTTCGACCAACGCCACGAGTCTACCTTTTGAAAAACAATGTGTTACCTATGGGGCAATCTGGTGAAACTGATGTTTTTATTCAGGGCCAACCTGATTTGCATATTTCATAATCTTTTTAGACATTTAAGACCTTTGCTTCAGGGATCGTCTGTAATCATAGATCCAAGTATCGGTTTGGATCTTCCAAGGCAGTTTATTCAACGTAGTAATGCTCCATTCTTATTCCTCTTTAACGACGAAACTGACCTTTCTCCTATCCGCTATCTAGAGAAGCGCCCGGTCACGCAATCATATTATCCTGCAGCTGACCGTAAAAGAAAGTATGACTGCGAAATTAAATCATCTTACCCGTTACAAAACAACAGCAACTCCTTCTCCTCCTACTACTACTGTGATATTTCTACAAGACCAGTACCGGGTGGGGGACTTTCTTTAGGGAACAACTCGAGTATGGGTAATTCCGGTTACACAGAACGAAGAATCCCATCTGAAAAGGAGTAGTTATGCTTTCCTGAAACGCTGGGGATAAGTGATGGAACAGTTCAACGGTATATTTGCATTTTCTACAGTTAATAATTTGAATACACTACTTCGCCTCGGGATTTCTTGTTCATTTTTTAATATAGTGCGAATTCGCTAATCGTTTCCCCCCATATATGCCCCAAACATACTGGTGACTCATGCGAATAGTACATCATTACACTGCCACTGCTACAACCGACATCCCAACAAACGTTAACATCAGAAATAAACTGACTAAAACCCGAGCCGCATCAAACAAAGTAAGTTAAATATCTTACCCAACGAGAGGAGAGCTGCACCGATTTGATGTAACCCAAACCGGGCAGCACTCATCCATGCGAAATTCAATCGGGATCGGGTTCGCTGCCAGTTCACCGGCTCCACAATCCACCCATTACCAGTGGGCAGATAAGGGCTTATCCCGTGGTTCACAATCTGCTCAGATGGGCACAGATTAGGGGCAGTTCATATAGTGACACAAAAGTAACCCGACTACCTTTCGCCAATCACCGTCACGCACATCCATCAGCAATTTGGCCAATTCATCAGGAATGTGAGTGGTAAAGTGCGAACGGTGAACGACGTGGAAGTCACGTAGTTGATGATCCGGATTCAAATCACCTACAGATGGGAAGAGGTCAGATCGAGGTGAGTGAAGGTGAACTGTACATTGATCGATGTAGTAGATATTTTGCCACTCCATAGAAAGACCTGTAGCCAACTCAGCCGCCTTGAATAGATCTTTGACTCGACTATCCCGGGTTAAGAATGGCATCGGATAGACTACGGAGTCTTGTTCCGCATGTAAATAAACACGAAATTGTGACTTTCTTGTAGGGGGCATTATTACAGAATCAATGAAGCGACCTGAAATGAAAAAAGAGTTCACTTTCAAACACTATAATATCTGGCAATAATTAAGAACGATAAAACTTATAAAAGATTATCGAGTTGTCAGTTTAACATGATGATGGACTTCTATTGTTATTGTCGGTTAGTATTCAACCATAATAGATTCGTTAGATGAGGATTTCAGCCCCCCTTGACTTTGTTGTTAATACGCGAAACATTTTATTCACGTGTCTAAGGCCAGGTTGCTCAGCCCCAAGTAGGCGAATTTTCTTGGGGAATTCACAACCGGAACCTAGGCCAACCAAACTCTTACCTACAAGGTAGCGTGGTGGTGTGTGAAAACCACAATCCATTTGGGTCGGTGTCCGGTTTATCGGATCGTGCACCCCGTGGACGGGGTCAAACGTCTAAGATGTCCGGTACACCTGGAGGCCTAATCGATCACTGTTACAAGAGAGAGGTGCGTGTTCGGTTCGTACGACTTGGATTTTTAGCCAATTCCCTTAGATGAACTGCCATTGGTTTGCCAACTCGATTAAAGACCGGGATTTCGGCCTTTTGTCCTCTTACTTTGCTAGTGAATCTCCTCCATCACGTGAACGCAGTGAATACGACTAGCATATGAGTATATGATTATTCCGTGAGGTGCAAGGGAAGGGTGACTGGTCACAAACAAGACACCCACCACCGACCATACTAAAGAAAAAAATATTGTTCAGGTCATATCACTGAAAGAAAATTGGAAACAAATCCGTCAGGCAGATCACCTGAACCTGTCACCTCGAATAGGCATACAGATTTGCTTGTGAGAACCTTGATAAAAGATAACAAGTCACATACCTGGAATGTAACTGTATCAGTGGAAACAGAGAAGAGGGAGGGTTTAGCACACAATTTTGTTGCGCCGGTTTACTCCCATTGGATGAAAAATAATTGATGTAACCGGTTCAAATAAACAGAATCATTGCAGCCAAAAAAACAGTGAACATCGTCGTATGTTCTGCGGTTTTCAGTCACGAAGCAACTTTTCATTCCACTTCCTGCAGTATTATTCTGCGACCACAGATGATCTAGTTCAATCGCCGAAAACGAAGAAGTTGAACATTTTTACTGTAACTCCATTTGAGGAAAACACAGCATTCGAAATTCAGAACCCAATGGAAGCGAAAACAGAAGGGAAAACACCTCCCGGTACCTGTGCCGAACACCAAATTGTTCACTGTTCTACAAACCAAACGATAGGCTACTTCATCAGTCAAGCTCTGTCTTTCGGGTTCAATTTTGTTGCTCTTGTATTGGACGTACGATAAGATGCTTGTTCAAGTGAATATTATGAAATCCGACCTCATTCTGTAAGGTGGCTGGGGTCGCTGTCTGCAGCTCAATGTCCTGCGCATCCACCACAAGTTTACACAACAGGTTTGGTAATGGAAAAAGACGCAAGTCAAAAATCCGAAACGGGAATCACAATCGCTATTTCACTACGAAATTCCACTGATGTTCGTCGGTCAAAATTCGTCTGCTCCGAAACTGCAGAAATAGCAGTCCGTAATGATGTTCACGAGCGAGTAACGAATGGAATACAATGAATGAGCAGGCATAGCGGGATCACCAATTACGGTAACACGATAGCGAATGAGAGGTACCGACTGACTCAGTCTCACGGTCCACACACAACAATGAGGGAGGATAACCGGAAAGAGGATTAGAAAGTTGTGCAATTATCAAAAGATCAAATTCAATGAAAATCCATGAAAAACGGAAAACAGCACGACACCCATATGTTTTTGACGGTTTGGAACACTGTGAGACGTTCGGTGTGAGTAATTGCCCCGATGGTCTGAAACGTCAGTTCCAATCGGAATTCAGTTATCTAATTCCTGCCCCCACTACCCAACCCCGTACACAACAACAATAGTCGGAAGCGCGTTGTCCGTGCGTTTTCTGCATCATGACCAAGGGTCAAGTGTCCGTTCCATTCGAGCTTGTTGAATAAGTGGTGTGAAATCCGTGTTGACTCACGCTCGCAGGAAGTCGTTATGCTCAGTGTGACACCATCTATCTAAGAGTGGAACGTTGAAAGTTGAATATTTTCTCATTATAAATTTAATGGAGCAGTTGATTAGTAACCACTGTAAAACGGTTTCTTTTACCCACCATGGCCTGTTTTCTGGCCCTACGAAGGAAATAGCCAAACTTCGTAATTGCATAAATCAGCCAAAATTGATTACTATCTAGAACTGCATCGACAACACAAATCGATTGAACTGACCAGGGTCAACCGTTCCAACAGCACTTCCGGATAAACTTCTGAACGTGCTGGACTTATCCCAGTTGATTCTCTCCGGCTATCAAATGACACTTCATTTTATCCAAACCGTGCCCCCACTGGATTGCGTTTTCTGATCCGTTCACTTTCGTGCGTTTAATCATCGTTGTGTCTCTGAGCTCGGAGTTCAGCTGATATGGTGTACGCTGTACAAAATTGTAGGCGGTATCCAGGCGTGGGTTCGAACCCCACCGAGGTTACTGACCTTTTCAAAACAACAATGCAATCCGCCCAGCAATATGAATTGAACAAGCACGTAGTAGCCTACAGCAGTAGTAGTACGGGTAAGAAGGCCTAACCGAAGAGCAGGAGAAACGGACTCGTCTGCGTGGTTTGTGAAAGCTAAATGAAAACAAGGTTTTCACATGAAATACAATATGACCCTATCTTGTTTTCATTCGCTTTTATATCCCCTCTCCAAAAAATGAACAGGACACTGTCCTTAAATTTCATTCAGCACTGTGTGAAAAATGTATAAGCGAATCCTGAACTATGGACAGGAAGCATGAATCTATCGTTTGTATAGCATGCCAGAAGGCGGTTTTTATATGAAATTTGAAAATGTCTTGCAGTGCACATGTGAAGTCACACGCACACACCAATATGTTCGCATACGGTTACTCGGCTATGGATCCCACTCCGTGAGAGTTTATTAATTTCCACATGTGAATGCATTTATTAAAACGTTTTTAAATTGTTATTTATGTGATTGGACCAGATGGTGGCATTTAAGACCAAAACCCCTGAGGTGCTTGAACGAATGGAGAGTATCCCCGAGTAGCTGGCTTTAATCGAACAAACAAATACTGGACCAGAGGCAGTAGAATTCCACACTTTTTAGATGGGCTGACTGACAGGTATGAAGAAAAACCGAGAATGAGGATGATGATTTGGGGAAAGAGGTGAAAACGGAACAGCAACACCGTAAACATACTTGAACATTAACTCTCCTCCAACATTTGGATAGATCATGAATGTAACGAAAAAGCAGGAGCGGTGAAAGAATCGCACCTTGAAGAAATCCGAAAATGAAGGACATAGATTGGGAATTTTGACCTTTTTACGAAGTAAATTTATATCCGTGGGTGACCTAATTAATCCTATTTGGTGAAAATAATAGCAACGATACACCAACACTGCATTGGAACCATGCAATTCAATTGTTAGCCGTTGTCAAGACAGCATGAACGATTGGTCAGCTAGGCACTTGAAGAACTTTGCGAAAGTTGATCCCCTCATAGGAATACAGAATTTTTGGAAGACATTGGTTTAATCCTATTGGCAACAGTTCTGGTGACATAGTTGGATTCGAATTCTCGCAAAGAATCCAAACGCACGCCCGTACCGGATAAGTAACGAGGCCAGATGTACAGATCTGATCATCTGGCATTTTTCACCAAACCAATTTATGTATTCGTACGGATTTACTAGGTAGCATGCAAATAAAATGCTTTGGATAGGTTTTCTCGATACCAGACGAAGTTCAATGGGTTTGAATGTCATCAAGGCTGCCGATTTGCGCGTGAGTTACATCAAACAAGAAGAGCACATGATCACACGTCTACACACGTGCACGGGATAGAACTGGCACAGAGAGAAAAACACGTGATCATTGATATACATTTATTGCGACCGTTCTGTTTTGATTCCAGTTTCCAGGCTGCAATCGAATGGACAACTTAGTGATCAACTTCGACAAAGTGACACTGAACCGGGATTATTAAGGCACTTTCAGATTTGTTATTGCTGTCCAAATTTTTCTCGATCCGGTACAAAGTACAGATGATGGTCCACGAGTGGCTTCGGTTCAACGGCCGGTATAAAACCGAGAGCCTTTACCATTTTAATCACGCGTTCCACATAAGCCTCGATTTCCTTCGGTCGAAGTTCCACGATGTATAGCACAGATTCGACAATTAGCAATGCGTTACTGACGTCCTCATCCCAATCCATCAAACTGAGCAATCCTCTGGTGGGTTGTGATTTTTTCACCGAATCCTTGTCTTCACGTTCAACATCACCATGCTCCTCACAACCGTCCCATTCAGGCCTGAGTTTGGCGCTTTCCAGCAGATGAGCCACACTGCAACCAAGGTAGATCACGTTCAGACGTGATTTGCAATCATCTCGTCGTAATAGTGAACGATAACGGGTGGGGAGATCTGGAAAACTATTCAGGGGTAAATATTTGACAGTGAATGGCACTGGTGTTTGGAGAGGTTCTACAGAAAATCAAAACAAGGAGGAACGGAGAGCGAGAGATCATGCACGATCAGTGGCCGAGCTTGGTTAAGCGCATGCGTTAAGATCAAGAGTAGTATAATCAGAATAATGAGTGTCGACAGTGCACCAATATCCAATCACATCTGCGTCTCATAGATTATGCGAGGACAAAACCGTGGAGGTAAATTCCACACAAGCCTAAAATAAACCCACCTTGAATATGTATAAAGGATGCCATAAACATCGAAGAACTTGTCAAGTTGCAATCCCCCCACCTTGCTCAAATATAATCCAAGAATGATGCGGTATCATGCTGTCCATCCTCTCATGCTGAACATCCGAGGGATCAGAGTGGAGTCGCACTGATGATGTTGCCCGGCCTGGATACGAAATGTCTGCGAACAACACTACCAGCTCCGAGAGCACACCAACACCAACATCTGCATCCCGAGCTACAATCATTTCACATCCCTTCCATTCAGATGGTTGTTCAGGATCGTACAGTATCTGGCTCCAGTCATATACCCAGCCCACAGAGGAATCAATGAGTTTTCACCATTCACAGTAAAACCCAGCTCATTTTGTCAATGACAATTCGTCACCAGCCACTATCGTATTCCTGTTTATAGTCATTACCTCCAAAGTGGCTTTTGTTCCTTACAAGCTACCACCTTAGGGTCTCCAATCTACAGGCATCTATGCTCCACCGAAATCGACTAGCACCAGGCATGCTTAACAGTGGCCTGACATCTTTGCTTTTTAAGGTTTCTATCGCCAATTGCACTGATAACGTGTTCGCTAACGCTAACTCATTACTGCCTGCTTCATGAAAGTATCCTCAACCGTTCACATGACAGCATAGAAAAATCCCTACTTTGCCTTATAACAATACAATGAGATCTACATTCCGAGGTGGGGAATTATTTTCCTTCTTGAATGCGTATATGTATCTGGCTTGATGCGTTCATTTGCCGCACTGAATTAGGATCTCAGTTTGTTTTAGTCCCATGAAAACAAATCTTTTGATCAATAATAGTCTAACCCACATAGCCAGTTTGACGGTTATCTGCCAACAATTGTTTTTTTGGCATGTTAACATCAGATATAGGCACTGGCTGTCACAGGATTTATGGTGCATACATTAATAGGGAGCACTCTTTCTCAGTCAACAGAACTTTCGTAAGAAATGAAAAACCTTTGTGTACACTTTAAAAGAAAATAGTGTTACCGACCGACCACTGTTCAACTAACAGAAGCGAGCCCGCTTGATTGATCTAATTTACTTTCAATTTTGTCAAAAAGATGAGTTTCGAGCAGAATCGATACCAGCTGGAACCAATTTTCATGTTTTTAAACACCAGATAAAGAATACCTTGATTTGAGAACGATAGATATACCAGCACAATGTAACTGAACCCAAATCGAGCCGACAGAGCTTCCAACTGTCCTGAACAATTGGAAGAAGTCGATTAAGTGCACCTCACTTCGAATAGATGCCACCATCGTCTATGCACTTCTCTTCCCTAGTTTGGGTTGTTACCTTTAAGCATCTATTTAATCACCCAAGGGAGGGAGAATTTCGAATCACAGAAAGGCCGAGGAACTAAGAGAGATACAAAAACAGGGTATGCACCCGTAAAAGTAATCCGTGAATGAGGTACCATTGTTTTACTACGCATAGACATACCACTCAAGTAGATCTCATTAGCCGATGTTGTTGGTCTTGAGTATTGCTATCACGAACCCCCAGCAGGATCACATGACCATGACTTGTGGTTAGGCCTTTCACACGCTCGTGACAGATCACTTCATTTTTTGTACTTCCTTTAATTGAATATAATAATAATACAATTTTTCGGGAAGGAGGAAGAGACCAATCGGATGACTGGTATACAACACTTGGATAATGGAGAATTAAGCGGCGGTGGTGATGGTGGGATTCGGTCAAACGTCCCCCTGGGCGATTAATTGGTGACCCTAACCGGTTGACTAACACCACATGTGCAACAGCCCCCAACCTCTCACTCACTGATCACAACGGTAATAGGAACGCGCTAGGTGCCACACATAACATGTTCCAACTATCTCAACCTATAATTGTAAAGTATTTCCACTGTGTGTAACCACGACTACCTAATACTCTTCGCTTAACCTCAGCCAAAATCGTTCGCACGTGATAACACTTAAAGCTTCCTGATAACCAGTTTTCTCTCTTGCATAAAACTTGTCGTTTAGAACTGAGTTGATTACCTCTCCAACTTTGAGCTGACATATAGACCAAATTGGTAATCAGTAAATATTTTATTCTTCCTTTGGAAAAGGCGGCTTCTTTTCTTTGGGTATTTGTAGCATTTTTGTTCTAGAATATATATTTTCATGAATAGTATATGAACGACTATATAGTTTTCCTGGAAATACAAAAGTGTAATACACGACACGGAGCATGGAGTTTTACGGACATGGCTGATCAAATCAAATCAAGGCCATGATTCTAAGCAATGTTTTGTGTTATATGTATACCTATGTAATTACAAATACGAGCTGCATCGTTCAACCAGCGGAGTTTTCCTCGAGAAGAATCAATCTGTACTTTATTTACCTAGCTTTACTATTTCGCTTCTGTCAAAGAACATCCTAGAACAAACACAGCCTAGAAGGAGAGGCAGGAAAACAAGAGGTATGCGGTTTCTCCCTGATACGTAAGGAGAGTCACAGTAGAACAGCAGTCGAAAGGAAGAATTTTCGAAGTGAAGTGATAAACAGATAATGCAAGTATACAAATTCATTTCTATCCCGCCCACTCAGTCGACGATGAACCAAAGCGGCTGAACAAGAACGAGGGTAATTATCACTTATATTAGCTTGCGCAATGCTCTGTCTAAGTTTACACAGCTTCGATTAATTGATGGTGAAGTGTTGACTGTCAGCTTGCATACGATTGTCAGGTTCGCGTTAGCAGTTTCTGCATTTCAAATTTCCAAACAGAATGAAAAGATTCATGAAGTTTTTCTATGCTACGAACCCCCAGGTCCCTTATGGTTTAGTTTTTTCTACTGTTCTTTGAACTCGGCAACCTACCAGTACCCAGTACCGGTACCCCTAACAGTACCAGGATTGTTATACCACGATGTGTTTATCACAGCGGTCTGAATTTAGACGTGTGTGANATACACTATGTGCATAAGATATCTGCTACGTTATAACACACGATCATTAACTCATTCGCCCGCCCAATGAAGAAACCCTTGCCGGTTATTTATTCCTAAGCAGTCACATCTTTTTTCATAAGCGATAGGAAGTCCCCCGATCACGCATATTATCAAATGTCCTCTTGTTGTGCCTCTCAGGAATTGTTTTCTTTTCGCACATATTGAAAGTAACAAAACGTATGGTCTTATGTGATCCTACCGCATTCCGCAAATCGAATTGCGTTTATTGCTCCTAATCCGGTCAAGAAGGCCTCACATCACGGTATAGTTTTGAGCCTTTTTATTATGTTTGGCTCCATTGTTGACTCTGTGTGCCGTACTTGGCAGAAACAAGTAGCATCATACCGACTGATGCTGACCTAATTTGGAAGGGAATAGGTATGGAGCTAATTTTATCATGAGAAAGAACTTCCTCACGAGCAGAGCTCGAATCCATGTGCAGTTAATCACGTTGTTGTTGATAGCATGATCCGCGTGAATCCATCAATCCAGGCATCATAATCCAAGAATGCAAACAAAACAGTTTGGCGATCAAGCATGTTTTCGGTGACTCATAAACTGAGAAATACTTTATATTTTTTCTAGATGAAAGAGAGAAACATAACCGATGAATAGTTAAAGGGGAATATTTCTTTGTATTTTGTTTCGGTTCCCCCGAAAACAAGATGGTTCAGTAAACGTTGTTTCCTTCAAATGGACATCGCTGATATATTCCAGTCAATTGGCAAATAATCACGTTTTCTTTTTCCCTGATGGCGATCAATTTTATATCGTATGCCCCATAATGTACTCTTTAAAAGAAAGATACAATCTCAAGCTAGATGCACATTAGTTTTATTTCACTAGGTATCTTATTACACTTACCATATGGTATACTGTCCAAACGCTCCTCAAGCGACTTCTCAAGAGCCGGTTTATTCGTCTGGTTTTCATTGCCTGCAGAAATAAGAGACATTAATGTGGGTAGTGTGTGTCTCAACTGCGCTTGACCAGAATGCTGAAAACATACAGAGTTAAACAGTTGAGAGATCTTCTAGACAGTTTTGAAAGAGCAGTGAACTGTTAAATGACCTTGCCCAAAATGGCTGTCTAACCAGAAAAGCACATCAATTTTGCAGCACTTAATGTAATATTTGTTGTTTCCGAAACGAGAGACAAGAATAATTAGTTACTCTTTCTCTGTGCGCTTCTTTTGTTTGTTTGTTTTTCATTTTTCTGGTTTCCAAATCCTTCCCTTAACCCTACCAACAAAAAGCTTATCGATGGACACCGATCGTCCAAAATTGTGATATTTACTCTTTTTACAATAAGTACGAGTGTCTAGGTTTGGCGGATGCGACGTGAACTGACTAGGAGACCAACACCGGTGACCTTGGTAAACAACTGGAAGGAGCCGGTCTAGAGACCGACCGATGAGCTCCTGGTCAGCCTGTGACATGAAATCATAATTCTCTTGTACAATCAATCAATGTCTCTAACTAATGATTACAATGCTCCTGAGGTCCCTCTTATCCAGGGGGTCTAACGCGACCTAAATGACCAGGTCCCCTGATCGGGGTTTTCATACCCTCATACCAGGTCTCAGTGTGACCACTTTTAGCTTTTTTCACCCATTACATGTCTCGGAAAACAACACGCACCTTGGCAATCTATTTGGTAGCATGCGTAACTTATGCCCCAACCAACGATGTGGACGGACCTCAATAGCACTTTGGTAATGCATTTCAGTTCCGAAATTGTGGTTTACGACGGTACTGGTGGAAACTGATTCGGTCAACAAGACTTGAACCATGTAAAAAGCCCTGCTCCGCTTTTGAACTATTATAATAATGAATAACTACGCATTCATGAAACCTTTTCAGTTGATTCATGTTAAACGTGAAAATTATCATATATGGTATTCTTCTTGCAACTTTCAAATTTGTCTAATTTGTGTATAGACAGCTGATTCAGAACGCGTGAAATCGATGACCAAAGCGATTCTGCTCATGTTGTGTCACTTCAATTATTTAATAGAACAGTAATTATAATTCTCAACTCTATGCACAAATTTAGCTGTACAAGTTAAGAATTAATAATAACCTTGAAAAACGTGTTTACTTCCTTTTTTCTTATTGAGTAAGCAGACTTATAATTAACTTTCAGGAAGGGGGTTTCAATTCTGGATTTTACTTTAATATCAATGTCGTTACCCCCAAATAAATGTAATGACTAAATAGGCAATAATAAGTTTGAACGTTTATCGTAACCCTGACAGAAGAAATTAACCGAAAGAGGCACTGAACAACACAAGGCAATATATTTTTTAATTACCGGTCTTTAATAATTATTCATTTAGGACATCTGATGTGCATTTTCACCCTCAAAGCTCGTATAAAAGTGGCAACAGTGTGATACAGCAACTTTCTAGATACCATAACCACGGCCGATTAGATTTCGGAACACCTCCTACCCATTCAAGTCAACCTCAGGAGAGTAAAGTTGAATAGAAAAATAATACCCCATCACGTTTCACTTTGTTCCAATTTTTTCCTTAGATGAAAATGCATTTTTAATAAAAGTTATACACAACCTGATTTTAAATAAGAGTAGAGAATAGAAGTCGTGAAAAATGGCTATGTTCTTTTCAACCATGGTGGTTGTCCACTTTCGAACAATCAAATGCCTCACGTTGATTGATGCTGCCAACACAGGTCTGATTTTCCATGCCATAAAAGATTAGAACGGACCGGTTTTGCAATAAATCAGGTCAGATCAACTATGCCCTACGACCCCGTAACCACTCACAACCGTACACACAATGAATAAGTTGTCATAATGAACAAAGAAGCTATGGCACGCACAAAGACACAAACACATTACAGACGGACATTGCGAATACGGGTCACATAAGCTTGGTGGAATGTTCATCTGTGTGTCTGTCACCTTTAGTCTGTGCGAGTAACCCCGACCAGTCCGCCTCTCAATAATGGCCAAGACATAGTGTGAAATGACAACTACTTGTTGGCTTTCTCGAGTAAAATTTTCAATTTGGGGGACGGGGAGACAGGTCTGACGAAGGGGGGGAGGGGAGGATTAACAATGTAAGCTGGTTTGCAACGCCATAATCATCGTTATCTTAGAGTAAAGTGCAGAAAAGTCAACGGTTATAACCAAGAGAACTGGAAGACATAACAGAGAGGGTTGAATTAGAAGTGAATTCACATAATCACAGTTGCGATCGTTCACTGTGTTTCTGGCCGAGAGCTGAAGTTGAATGGGTGGTGAAAAGCTCTTAACCACTTGTACCATTCCTTCTAACACACGGAACAAAGTTATCTAAGAATTAATCAGTGGAATCAGGTACGGCAATCGTTTACGGTTCTTTGCAATTACACTCGGTTTCCCCTTTTGGTTTGATGAATCATTAAATTCGCACTGCCATCCGATGTTTTTGTTTTATGCATACGGATACACATATGTAAACGATGACTTATGTGACTCAGCCTGAGTGCATTACATTTAGTACTATCCAAATCAAGATCCGCGTTAGTGAATGATGTTAAAATGTGGCATATGGTCGGACACAAACGATTCATTAGTAAGCAAACAGTTCTTAAGCCGATTGTAAAAGAACCAAATGAAAATGATGACAGCGTTGATTGTGGAAGCCGTGGGGATGAAAGGGTCATGACCTTATAGTTGTCTGTTCCCCAGGAGTTCAAGAAATCTTTTGCCTTCAGTGAACAGGATACTTCTGTGCATGTTGTAAAACGGATCACGCTTCGCCATCCAACAATGTTAAATCGCAGATATCGATAAATTTCTGGCCTCTTAGTGGTTCCCTCCAACCGCAAAATAAAAATCCCCGAATCACTGTGTGGCCAAATCATTTGGGCTTACATGGAGAGGTTGTGAACATACATAAAAGACTCAGTGCATTCTGACGGCCGTGTTGAATTTTTATGGATCGTGCTGCGTGAACGTGATTTGGTAGCCACCACTACCTCATTGACGGCGATCATATGATTTAGGTTATCAGCAAAACGATCCAGAGACAGCGTATTGCTATTTCATTACCATCGCTGTCCAAATATCACACTTTGTGGTCTCCAAAAGTAGTCCTTTGACTAGTCGCAGGTTATTTTCTAAACATCCGTGGTACACATTTCTGTTCAACAAAGAAAAAGAATAAAAAAGATGTTTACCATCATCATTTACATGTCATGTTCGTATGGTACTTACTAGCGACATCGGTCTCAGTCAACGCGTTGCTTTCGTTCAGGTCAATTCCAGCCCCTTTTGGACTAGATGTCGTGTCTTGCTGACTTGATTCCTCGTATGATTGGTCCCTGGTCTCTTCATTCACTTCTTTCTCTCCACCCGTGTCCAAGAACGGTGCAGCCACACGCATCGGGCACGGTTGATGAGCTGCCAGTTGCCATAACAAACGTCGCACATTCACCTCCGACGCAGTGCCTGCCCCGTAACGACGTTGTCCGTTGACTTGACGTTCCAGTTCACTGCAATGCTCTGTCTGAATGCCAAAACAGAGAAACGGTGAGCACACAATATCTCCCCAATAACCCCAATAAATACTGGTGTCCCCGTTGGGTGTTCTAAACGGCCTCCCGGATGCCAGAGTCCGATTGGCGCGATTGTAATAGGCCTGACGAAGCTCAAACGCTATGCCACGCTGACGCCATCGGGAGTATTCGCGTGAATCGATTTGCCCCNTTTGCCCCCCCTGCCATGTCATGGAAACAAACAGAGAATGAAAAAGGAAGGATCCATCGTCGCTCTGCACAACAGAAAACGTTCTTATCAAAACGGAGATAAGATTTTATAGATATTGAATTCCAGTAATATATATATATATTGATATATGAAGTGGCCACTTTAGAAGTACTGATGATGTCACCTCGGCTGGTGATAAAACGTTTGCAAACAAATTGCCAGGCTCGGCGAACAGAGGAAATAGAAAGTGCTGTTATATCACTCGAGAAAGACGGGGTCAAGTTAGGCCACGGCGGTAGTGCCAAATTGGTTTGACCACACGACCCCAGAGGTGGTATGAGGGTGGGTGAAACGGCTTGACCGGCACAGCCCAACCACACTGATTGGTTCACTAGCTGTGGGATTAGCATATGCCGAATTATAAGTTCGTATGGAGATAACTGCGCACAATAACAGTAGAATCAATCGTTTCCATTGCAGAGGTGATTCAGAAAGCATCGCTTTTTCGGGTAAACCAGTGAAACATTGAAAACTTCATATTGGATAAGATCGGCTATGAATGAATTACATGTGATGGATTATATTCACATAAACTTCACTGTGTCACAATAGAACATAGTTGCACTTTATCAAACATAAAACAGAAATAGTTATCGAGGTCCAAATATATAATTTTTTCAGCTGGACCAGACGGACATATTCCTTGTCGAGCACGAATTTTGGTTTACGTTGGAGTGCCACTATTTTGCCGGCAACTGTTGGCAGGCAGGAGAATGAGGGATAACTCTATAGTATTAGTAGTATTAGTAGTAATAATTGTTGTGGTTGTTCTTAGAATTATTATTATTATTATTAACACCAATCTTTACAGATACGGCGCCAAAGATAACCATGGGTGAACGAAAAAATATAGGTACAAAAGGGGGAAAATAAAACAGTCAACTTCGAGGAGTAAAAATGTTTTTTGTTTGTTCACTGCACGCCATTTTGAGGGTTTTTCGTTTCTATTTATTTTTGGGATTGTAGACAAGAGGTGATGCTTTCGCGCCACTGACTTCGGTTTGATGCCATATCCCGCAGTGTCTTCAGCCAAAGACGATCTGAATCTGTGGGGCCCCAGCCGGGGAGCCGAGAAGCCCCAATGGTAGCCAGATCCGAGCACAATCTCTTCAACCCTCTGCGCCACGTCATAGCCTGCCCACCTCGTTGTTTCTTCCAGCCTGGACCGATGTCTGCGAGTAATGCACGGTGTGGCAGACGGTGCTCAAGCATTCGTAGGTCGTGCCCTAGCCACCTAAGACGATGCTGTGAAATTATTTTGCCCAAAGGAAGACTATCTGGTCCTAGCACCTGTTGTCTGACTTCATCGTTATTCACACGATGCTCCCACCATATGCGGGAGATATTGCGCAAACAACGGTTGTCAAAGACTGAACAACGTACCTTTTGTTCAAATTAACTAAATAGCCAGAAAGTACTTGCTCGTAAGTTGAGGCAACATAGTATGCGAGGAATAACAGATTTTCTTTATTTAGTTTTTGAGCAACTCATTACTTCAAAAAACCGATCAATTAATTCTCGAATGGGATAAGTTTATTTATCGTATCAATGCTTTTGTACTGCATGCATACTAAAATACTAACCTTTCTATCATGCAGTGTGATACTGCAGTCCCAGTCAAATACATTCGGAATAGCATCGTATCTTGTGCCCAAGTGTTTACGTAGCCTCTGATCCCTAAAAATGAATAAAATTGAACGTCACGAAGCACCGGTCAAAGTTATAGAATGAAGTGAATGGTAAATTCAGTCTTCGAAATTCTGTAATTGACAGTTTAAGAATGACAGGTTTTTCTGTTAAATCTCTTTGTTTATTTGATTTCAAATTATATCATGCCACGATTACCGTAAGCGCAAAACCACAAATTCATGCTAAATTTAATAAAATCGGATGCTACGGGCAACAGATTTACGTGAAGATGAGAGCTAGAAAGATGTGCGTGTGTGAGTGAGTGTAATTCATCAGAATGGGGCTCTGCAAAACAACCTTTGCTCGAAAATACTGCAGGGCTTTAGTGATGTGCATGTAGAGCAGTGCTGCGGTTTATTTCTTAAAGAAGGTGGAATAATAGCAAAAAATGAACAATACTTTAACTAATTCAGTCTTCAGGATTGAGGACAGAGGGCAGGATGCCCGTGTGAGCCCCATCACCTCTGTGTCGAAGGTTCGATCACAAGTGTTCGTTCCTCCATAGCCCCCTCAGGTGCTCATCCAGACGCCGTTTGAAAGCAGCGTCTGTCTTCTCTTCCACCACAATCGCTGGAAGGGAATTCTAGAGTGTTGTTGACCTACGCGAGAGTCGGTAGACCAACGGAAAACCAACGGACTTAAGTTTCCGGCTTACGGTGCTCTGTCCGTAAAGGGAAGTACTGTTGAAGCTCCGGGCCCATATCACCTCTCAGGATCTTCCTCAGGCAGATGAGATCTCCCCTGAGGCGTCGATACGCAATTGGGAACAGACCAGTAGCCTGTGGAAGACTTTCATAGCCGGTCCCCCGTGGTCCAACAATGAGTCTAGTGGCAGCACGTTGTAAACGCTCCAACTTAGCCAGTTCACCGGCCGTGCAGGGATAAGTCGCCACACCACCGTACTCAAGTCTTGGTCTGACATGGGGAGCGTACAGCAGCCCAAAAGCGTCCATCGTGAGCTGGTTGAAAGACCGACGAATAGGCCCGAGAATGCTCCATGCGGTAGCACAGACCCGATAGGTGTTTTCCCGGGTCTTTAGTGATGACGTAACCATAACATCCAGGTCTCGTTCGCAAGATGTTCTGAGCAAGGTGGTTCCCTGGAAGTTGTAGACTACCGCTGAGTCAGCACGCCCCAAATGCAGGTGAGCACACTTTGCTGTGTTGACTGGAAGAGCCCAGGTGTCCGCCCACTGAGCCAGGTTGTTCAAATCCGCTTGAAGAGAACTTCAATCATTCGGATCCTTGATTGTACGCCAGATTTTGATGTCATCCGCATACATGAGGGACGGGCTGCACAGCTGACTAGGCAGGTCGTTCACATAAACAACAAAGAGCCAGTGACCAAGAACCGAGCCTTGGGGGACCACACTGGGAACGGAATACCACGCAGAGAGCGATTTGCCAACACGGACGCAGAATTTCCGATCGATTAGGAAGTTTCGCAGCCAATTCCGCATTACCACACCTACACCTAGGTTGGATAGCTTCCGCAGAAGGAGGTCGTGCAGCACCTTGTCGAAGGCCTTGCTGAAGTTCACGAAGATTATAACCGTTTCGTCTCCTTTCGCCTTGTCCTCGGTCCAGCATTCACGTGCAAGTAGCAGATTTGAGAGGCATGAGCGACCCGGTCGGAAACCGTGTTGTTGGTGGCACAGGTGACCGTGGCACACCAAATGCTGCCGAAGCCGTGCGGCTACCAGTTGCTCCATTACTTTACTCACAACGCTAGTAAGGCTGACTGGTCGGTAGTTCCCAGGGTCACTCCTATCCCCAACTTTGGGCAGTGGAACAATGATAGCGTCCTTCCACTGCCGCGGTAAACATCCTTGAGTGAATGACAAATTGAATAGGTTGCACAGTGTGGCTGCAAGTTCATTTGCCAGTTCCTTCAGGATCAGCGGATGCGCACCATCAGGTCCTGGTGACTGGTGAACCTTTAGTCAACGCAGCTCCAGTGCCACCTCTCCGATGACCCCAGAGTATTCTAATTACTTGAAAGAGTTATTGACTGAACTTCCTCAATGTGCCATATTGGCAGAGATGAGTCTAAATATTCATACACATGAGTGATCAATCCGTGACTTGCTTTAGCGATATAAATTCTATGTAACTGATTGAGAGAGATTACTCAATTAAGTCTGGAAGACACTACTTCTATATCTAAAAGGATATTGTGACACTCATCCATATTTATGATTTTCTAATTTTTAATCTTTTCATTACGATGACTGAGATACTGAACGGGTTTTTGTTAGGTAAAAAGACTATTTTTACCTAAAACTGACTATTTTTCGAGTGTCTGCAATTTGGAACATCTCCAATCAATACCAATCTCGCAGAGAATAATCAATCATATCGCGTCATACGGAGACATTCACTCCGTCCGTCCGATCCGTGATCGATTGAAATTCGCTAACTCCGTGATTTATGATCGATCGAACTTTGCTAACTGTACTTGATTGGCATAATCTTTTATTGCATGAATCGATGCTATTTTGAGACACATATAAGCATCAGATCAAAACTTGTAAATTGACTTGCTTTCCTGTGTGTCGAATACACGTTCGCTGTGCACTAACTATGTTCTTGCTTACGTAGCTGGGAGAAGGCTACTAGTGCTCGTGGCGTCCAATCTGTGCTGTGATCGTACTCGTGAGGCTAGACGAATAGTGTGGCCGTTGAGGTACGTGTGTTCCTCGTGTGTCATCGTGTGATATCTTGTTGTGTGTATATTGTGATCAAACGAGATCCGGACACAACAGTTTTGAACCACGCATTACTATGATTTATGTTCCTCTGAAGTTACGGAACCACTTCTCATTCTTTTCGCGTTCTCTCTCAAACCGAACCCACAGTGGTCTGCAGGCCAACAAGATATCTTGTAGGTGGACTATTATGGTGAGTCTTTCTCGTGTTCTACTGATGATGACTTAAATTTCAACAATGGATTATTCATTGCAACTTATAACGAGAAGACGTCTGTCAATAATGTAAGAGTTCGGTGAGCAGGATAGAAACTCAAGTGACGGTTACGATGACTTGGATCAGGGACTGATATATTGTTTGTCAATTGCAGCTCTTCTCTTGGACTCTAGAGCCAACGGATTTTCCGATAATGCATTATTATAAAGCATACACTTGAATTGACTTTTTATTGATAATTGGCAGAATTATCTTGTGCACACAAACAGAGGACCAAACTTGAGAAAGCCATTTTTCACCAACCAGTCATCAAAAGGACTTGCAAACATCTGTACTTTGAAACTTCTC